CCCAGCACTAAGAATACCCCAGACAGTGGACTCATACACGCAGTGCAGTCAGCTTGTTTCATACAGTGGCGAGCGATGAGGCGTCTGCGTGCTGCAGGTGAGCCCGGGTTTGAAGTGCATAAGGGGGGGGGCATGTGGTGGGCTGCAGGTGCAGCTGGCTTCACAGCCAATACACACACCCCCACCCCCTTTCCTGCGTGTCTGTCACCCTTCGTAGGTGGCCATTTCTTCACATTACATATTTAGTCGTCAGTGTTGCCGCTCCGCATGCAACGAACGCGGTTAGCATTCAGTACAAAGCCTCAGCTATGCCAAAGCCCCCCCCCCCACCCTACCCCACACACACAGACATTCCTGGGGGGGGCATCAAGTGCCATCTGCAGATTCACACTTACGATAAGAGAAGTATGCCTGAATATTCACTTACTCATAGGCACACCTGCGTCTCAGTCAGCAGATTTCTAACCAACACTGTCTATTTCATAAATTTTAGGAAGTGTGTTTTTTTTCTCCCCAACACAGCTTCAGCATAAAAAAGGTAATAGACATAAAAAAAAAATAATAATGTTCTTCTTGGATGAGTATCAAGCAATTCTGGCTGTGATTGACGTCATGTGACATATCTAGGAAGGAAAAAAAAAAAACCTTTAAGGAGAAAATGCGTTGCCAGGCAACCTACATTGCCCATCTCTTACAGCAGAGATTACATAAGACTTCCACATTATAAGGGCTTTAGATAAAGCCACAGTGTTTTATTTTGATTTTCGGTTCTCTTTGGCAACAGCGTCGGTCCAGTTCACTGCCTCTCTTTACCTAAACGGCCGTCTTGCTCACGAGTTGTGTGTGACGAATGGAGAAGTTTGATAAAGAAAACATTGATACAAAGGTTACGGAAATTCCCCAGTTTCCTCAATCGTCTTAGTGAACATGCGTTTTTGAAACTGACTTCGATGGAGCGCCTTCTTCCCCCCCCCATCACATGGTTATGACCGAATGTGATTGCTAAGCAGGATTCTAATAATACGGGCTGGCTGGTTTTACTTCCTAGCTGAGCTTTCTGTGCATTCGTTTAGCAGATGTTTTTATACGAAGCAACATCCTTTTTTTTTTGCGAGAAAGACAGTCCCTGCAGCAAGTGGGAGCTTAAGGGGTTTGGTCAGGGGCCCAAGAGTGAAATTAGTCTGCCAGGTCTGGGATTTGAACCTGTGACCTTCTGATCACAGGGATAGTGTTCTAACCCACTGAGCCACACACAGCTTTCTAAAGGTCGATTCCTTTGCATACCAGCCAAGAGCATTCCCGCAGAGTGCTAAGCCCCCATACATTTTGTATTTTTGGAAAGTAAAGCCGGTCGTCATTTTGTGCGTGTGAACCCGAGGCCGCTTCCTGAAGGAGGCAAGCAGGCGAATGGTGGACAGCAGGCGGACCTAGAACAAGGCACTCAAGCACGCGACGTCTTTCTTTCCGTGTGCTCGCAGGAGCAGATTCTGGAACAGCAGCAAAGGGAGAGAGATGACCACACCTTTCAGCGCACGTGCATGTTCTGTCCCGAGCAGTTCACGGGAAACAGGTGAGGGCTTGCAGGAAGTGCCATGTCTGTCTCCCAGGAAGCAAGTGTGGAGTATATTAGAAATTGGTGGGAAATTGGTATTACGGTTCGAGGGAGTAGGGAAACCGAAGACCCGTGGGACAAAGGCGTGACCCACATGTAGGTAGATGCTGAGGAGGGTTTCCGCCAGTGATCTGACATCCACGTGCTGCACACAGCAGTTATGTCAGGGCCTGCTGGTGTACAAACATGGGGGTTTTCCTGAAAACTCCCCCTGGGCTTACATACAGTATATCCACAGCAGGGCACTACCAAACACTACCAAAGCTGAATTCACGAAATTCCTTTCAGTGTTCATTTCGGAGACTCGTGACTTTATGGTAGTGTCAAGTCACAGTCAGCTTACTTTTTATGGTGTGCTTGCACAACGAAATCGGGTAGCAGTCTCCCCTAGTGCAAGGTTCACACGTAGTAATATTGTTAAACAACACAATAGAATAAAAATTATTAAATAAAAAATAATATTTATAAATAGTCCAACAATTAGTGTCCTGAGTAAGATGCTATATATATATATATATATTGCATCATTTGCATCATTTGCAATGGCACCATTTCCTCCTTCTTTCCAGGTCTTTGCTTCTGAACCACATGGTGAAGGAGCACGGCTTCAACGTGGGCCTGCCGGACAACATCGTGCACTGCGACGAGTTCCTGGACACGCTGCAGGCGAAGCTCGATAGGTATGTGCAGCGGCGGCAGTGCTGAAACCACACGTTTGTGCGGGGCCCCAGGGGTTGGGGGCCCCCTAGTGACCGCAGACAGTCACTGCACTAGGGTCGTTTTGGGGCAGGGGGCCCCGAGGTGATTTGTTGAGTGAGATCCCAGAAACAGCAAACTCCAGTTTGGGTATGTGCCTCAAACTCGAGATGAATTTTCCTCCATCCTCACTCTTCACTGATGTAAGTTAAAAAATAATGATAAATCTTCTCTTTTTTTTTATCCCAAGGGAAATTGTCGTAACAGTGACAGAACAAATGCCCCCCCCACCCCCGAATAGTTTTTATTTTCTGCAATTTTATTGATCAGTAAATTGTCTTGATTGTGTGATGCTATTGCTACAGTAGTGCAGAGAAAGCAAAGGTTTATATTCGCATTGAACGGGGCCTGTAACCGCAGAGGACTGGGTGTGGGAGGCAGCAGTGTCGGGGTCTGATGACAGAGTCTGTGTAGGACTACGACAGGGGCCACACAGCCAGGAACATGACAAACCTGCTCCGAGTGGGCCGATCTGCAGCATGAGCCTGCGGGCAGGAGAGTCCACGCCCGCGGGGGGGTTCTCTGTGAGCCAGCCCGGCTCACCGCTCCTTGGTTCCCCATTAGCGGTCGTGTCGGCCCCTCTCAGCGTTCGCGTGGCACGGCCTGAGCGGGTGGCCAGCTGTCCTCCGACCTCTCGTCAGGATGTGATGCACACAGAAGGCAGCTCCTATTGCTACCCCCCCTGCCAGGGCTAGGATGGAAGAGGCCTTGAAGAACACCACCCTCGTGTTTCCCTTACGACCTGCTGGAGGAGGAAGCTGGCTGCTGCTACGGCCTTTAATGCTGCTTCACTTTCTCCGCTTGGCAGCAGAACTGTTTTTCCGCCATGTTGTTATTGGCTAATGGAGCAAAGAATGTATTTTTATTTGTTTTATTTTTTTTTATAAACGCTGTTGGTGTATGTTATACGGTGTGGCTGCTCTTCACTTGGGATCCATTGTCTCTCAACCTGAATACTGTCTGTCGCGTTTGTCACGGACGTCCCTCCATCAGCTGTCACGAATCCGAATCACCTCCCCAGTTCCCTGCAGCATTCTCGCTCCTGTGCTCCAGGGCTCCCCCTGCTGGCGCGTCCCCTCACTAGCAGCTCTGAGCACCCCTGTCTCTCCCCATCACAGTTTGTTGCTGATGATTCTGTCGTTTTATTTTTAGACCGTCTCTGTAGATCTGTGGTTTTTTTTTTTTATTCCTTCTACAGCTTGCGGTGCTTGTACTGCGAGAAAACCTTCAGGGACAAAAACACACTGAAGGACCATATGCGCAAGAAGCTGCACCGTAAGATCAACTCCAGCAACAAGGAGTATGACCGCTTCTACGTCATCAACTACTTGGTACAGCCCTGCGCATGCAACCACTAACAGCGAAAAATGGTTGGGGGGAGGGGGGGGGGGGGGGGAGCCACAGGGACCGCCCCCCAGCTGAAAGCTGATTGGCCCATGGAGTGCATCCTCCTCTGTCACTCACCGATTAGAAACATATCATTGGCTAACAATAGGGACGGCCCATCTGTATAAATTATGACTCCTCTTGTGCCCCTGGGATGATGTATTGGTGGGACAGAGATGAGTTAATGAGCCACACACACCGTCGGTGTGGACCTTCCCAGCACAGGCAGAACCCTACAAAGGAGAAGCTCAGTGTGCAATTGGCGTTTATATTATTTTTCCCTGGAGATGCGGCCTAGTTGACGGTGCCCACCTCACCGTCACGGTGTGAGCTACAGCACCTCACCGTCACGGTGTGGCGTGTTTGTGGGTTTATGCAGTTATTGCGTGCTGCTGGATGCACACGATCACTTTCTGTAATGTCGCTGTGGCAGCATGGAGGTCATTATATCAGAGTCGTGCGGCCGGGTCGTTCACCTGGGATGCGGACGACAGACCGGGGCGTCGCTGGCTGCAGGGGCGCGGTTCAAAGCCCGTGCTCAGGGTGTGCCGTCAACGCCGTTTCAGAGTTGGAACGACTCTTCCTTGCGTTGACAGTCTCGGAATGATTTGTTTGAGCGTGTTGAGTGTCCGACAGTTTATGAATAATATTGGCATTGGTTCAAAGATTTGCAAGGTCATGGGTGATCCAGAGGTGTGGAGGGATACTGGAAAGACCCAAGTGAGGTCCTTTTATTTTTTTAGTTGAAACAAATTGAGTAAATGTGCAAGGATCTTAACTATACAAGCTAATCCATTAGTCACGTTTTAGATGCAAGTGATATTTTTCAAATTGCATTTTTATTAATCAGGAACTGGGAAAGACTTGGGAAGAGGTTCAATCAGAGGACGATCGTGAGATGATGGAGGACAGGGATGAGTAAGTCTGTATGGGAAGATCTTAAGCTCCTGAAAATCTGCACTCTAGAACGCAGTGGTTACATGTGATTTTTATTCTCTCTAGTGATTGGTCAGACTGGCAGGCCCGCCCCCTGTATGCTGTCTGTCTGTTCTGTGAGCACCAATCAGAAACCATGGACCAGATCTACACTCACATGCAGGTTTGGTTCCTTGCTGGCCTAAACTGACCTGGTTCACCTTTGGGTGCCTGTGTTCATTTCTGAAAGTTAGGATCTTCTTTTATCGATATAAGGAAGTTCCTAGTATTTTTACACATTGCAGAAAAAGACTTACAACACTAATACTTTTTCATGAAGCATTGATTGTGCTGTGTGCGTATGTGTGTGTTTTGTGGTTTTTTTTTCAGGACAGACACGGATTTGATCTTCATAAATTAAAAGCAGAATTCAGTAAGTAGGGCTCAAACATCATGCATACTCTTTTGATAGGAGAGCTATCAATTTTGTCATTTTATATGTGGTTGCAGGGGTTTGTAATCAACACTATGTGGCACCTATCAGCGTATCTGAGGTTGTCTTTCGTGTGTGTCGTGTTATAGACCTGAAATTTTACCAGCAAGTGAAACTGGTGAACTTCATAAGACGGGAGGTTCACCAGTGCCGTTGCTATGGCTGCCAGGAGAAGTTCGACAGCAGGGAGGCAGTTGTGCAACACATGCGGGACGCTGCCCATGCGATGGCGTTGCCTCCGCAGTCCACCTGGGACCAGCCTCAGTAAACATACTTCCATCTCTTTTACTTCACGTTACTAAAGTGTGACGCCGCTGTTCACACCAGCCCTTCTCTCCCTCTCGAACCCGACTCTTCTTCTAGGTACTACTTTCCCACTTACGAAAACGACGGACTGCTGTGCGCCCTGTCTGACAGCGACGGCGAGTCGGACCCCGCCGGCTGGGGCGCGGACGTTCCCGTGATCTCAGAGGACGTATCCACCCTGGAAGCACTCAGGCAGAACAGCGTGCTCGGTCACCTGCTGGAGGACAGGGACAGCCCCCCTATGGGCCCCGGGGCCGTGTGATTTAGGGCCACTGGCCTGCGACTTCTCCTTTGAAAGCCCACGGGGCAGGACTCTTTGGGACAGTCATAGCTGGAAAGCAGAAGCAGCCAAAATTGGCTTCATCTAAAATGTCTCATTGAACTTAATATCGTTTGGACTTTATTCAGGAAGTGACGTAAATAAATAAAACTGAGTTAAAACAGTTCAGGCAGAAGTCTGTCACTGTGATCAGAGGATGACAGAAATGTTTGGTTTGTGTGCTGTGATTTGAGGAGGAGCAGGTAATGAGCTACATGGTGGACAAGACAGACCACCGCAAGGCAAAACAACAGTGTGCAATTCGGGACATGAAAGCACCATCTCATATCTGCCCTGCTTTTCACACTCGGTGCATACAATGAGCAAACAAGCCTCAGTTTGTGCTCCTCCTCTATTATGCTCAGGGAGGTGGCGCCCATTTTACAGCAATCGGAGAATGACGTTAATGGGGGCAAATCAGCCATCGGCTGGGATCAACCGATCTGGACCAGGGCTTAGAGAGCAAGCTGTAAAGCCAAGTTCCGTGTTAATTAAAGACTCCTGTCAGACATGTCTAGCGGCATGGGGGGGGAGGGGGGGGGGTTGGTAGGCCTAATGAGCAAGACTTCACAGAGGATGCATGCAGCTTAAATTGGTCCAAACATGGGCCCTCTTGTAAACAGTATCTAGTTATTGTTTGCAAGATAATATTATGTAAAAATGCTCCATTGCAATTCTCTGTCTTTTTTTCATGGTCAGGCACTGTGCTGTCCGCACATCGTCCCTGGCGAATCTGAGAGTCAGATGATGCTTCTAAAGGATCTGTTTTTAGCAGACTTTCCTATAAGGAATCTTTCTCTGCAAAAGGCTCTCGCCTTCAATGCCCATAAATCTGTGGATGTATATAATAACACACCCTGCAATGGATTGGCATTCTATCTACGTACCCCTGTGTTCTTGGGGTCCCCCATCTCTGTGACCCCATACTGAATAAACGGAGATATTGATTCGCTATACAAGGTGGGCTAGTGGTCAAGTCAAAAAATATATTTGTATTTGGATGCTTGCTGCAAATGCTGACGTTAGGAGACTTTATTAGAGGTGTTAGAATGGCTAAGCTAACACATTTTCCCAGCTATAGTTTAACACCAACATGAAGATCATTTAAACATTGTTTTCTATTGACTGCCAAAGACTTTTCCACAGTCCTGTATAATGTTCCACTCAATAAACCGTTTACCAGCAATACTCATTATTGCAGCATTTGCTGTTCTGATACCCCATACCTTTGCTGCGATGTCCATGGTTTTATCCGACCTTCAAGAACTTCCTCTAAAAAGCTACTGAATTTACTGAGATATTAAACAGCATGATCACTAAACTTTTCCTGCTGCTAACTGCCAGGCAATTCCAGCCCACGCTGGCTGTGCATATATTTTAGCCAGTAACTTGAAACGCCTAGTATTAATCATGCTGTTCTCAGATGAATGGAGACACAATTCTTGACGTAAACTTTTATCTAACCTGGGATGAGTCAGACCCCCCCCTGATTGTGTGTAGTGGCAGCTGGGAAAATAGATTTCATTCCTTGTTTTTTATATAATATTTTTGGTTGGTCTTTATAAATGTTTAATTAAGACAATACTAAAGGTATCCTTAGACATAAGTGTTCATGTATTTATGAAAAATGAGGATGAGTTTGAATGTTATTAGTGTCTGTGTCAGGGAATGAGATGTGTGAGTGTGAATGTGATTAGTCTGTGTGGGAATGGGGTGGGTTTGATTGTGATTAGTCAATATGTGTGAGTTGGGTGGGTTTGATTGTGATTAGTGTATGTGTGAGAGCAGTGGATTTGAATGTGATTAATCAATGTGTGCAGGTGGAGTGGGTTTGATTGTGATTAGTTGATGTGTGAGAACAGGGTGGGGTTGATTGTGATTAGTCTATGTGTGAGAATGGAGTGGGTTTTATTGTGACTAGTCAATGTGTAAGAATTTGGTGGGTTTGTGATTAATCTATCTGTGAGGGTGGGATGTGAGCAGACAGTGTGTGTTAGTGATTATTCTGTGTGAGAATGGGGTGGGTTTGATTGTGATTAGTGGATTTGCTATGGACAATGGATTTGATCTGTGATTAGTCTATGTGTGAGATCAAGATGGGTTTCATCATAATCAGCCTTTTTAATCTGCATTTGTCTGGGTACAAGTGTTCAGAAACATGAAAAAACAAACTTAAGTCCCATATCATTTGACTAAGCAATGGGTAAGGTAATATACAGTTGTAATGTGTGAATGTGGAAGACAATTACAGTGACCGTAAGAGTCCTTGACCACTTTTCAAACTTGAAGCACTGTACATTTAATCAAAGGACCAATTGGCATGAATAACACAGAAAGACACTGCCACCATCAACTGTATAATTACGCCTGTTCATTCAGGAGGTCTTTAAGGTTGCTGCGGTAACAGGCCCAACCCACTCCTCGTCGTCTGAACACCTCTCAGAAGATGCTCCAAGCTGCTGAGAGTTCCTCAAAAGATGCAGCCTTGGGACTGTCTGATGACTTCAGCGGTTTCAGTGACTGTCTCAGGTACCATTTTCAGGAATTCTCTGCAGTCTGCTACAGGAAACATGTATGTATGACTGAATGGCAGTATGCTTAAACACACATTGCATATTTTAGACTAGCATAGTCATTAAGCTCCATGTAATGCATGAACAGGAATGAAAAATTACATTTTTTCACGGACTGCAAAGCCAGCTGTAATGGAAGACTGAGTGAAGCATAAGTTAGTGGTGATTTTTAAAATATCCTCTCATTTTAGGGCTCAGTAATCTCAGTTGTGCCAGCACACAGGAAATGAAGTGTCATTATTTAGAATAGAATACAATACAATACAATACAATACAATACAATAGAGGTACTTTATTCCTCCTATCTTGCTCTTCACTAGACCAATATACAGGAGAGCGAGCTTGGGGTCACAGCACAGGGTCCCCGTCTGGCACTCCTTACTCAATTAGAACCGGTAACCTTAAAAATGGGTAGTACACCACTGCCTTATAGAAATAAAGATTATGAGGCCCAGGTATCATACCTGAGTGTTGAACTACTGTGAAGCATCTAGTGTTATTAGAGTGTTAGTGTTATTGAAGAGTTAGTGTTATTAGAGTATTAGTGTTATTGAAGAGTTAGTGTTATTAGAGTGTTAGTGTTATTAGAGTGTTAGTGTTATTGAAGAGTTAGTGTTATTAGAGTATTAGTGTTATTGAAGAGTTAGTGTTATTAGAGTGTTAGTGTTATTAGAGTGTTAGTGTTATTGAAGAGTTAGTGTTATTAGAGTGTTAGTGTTATTGATGTGTTGCTGTTATTGGACTGTTGGTGTTATTGGAGTGTTAGTGTTATTGAACAGTTACAGTTATTGGAGTGTTAGTGTTGGATGTGTCATTAGCATATCTTTGTATCCCTGATAGTACCACAATGACCGTGAATGTCACTGAGATAAGGGCCATTTACAGGATTTAAAAAAAAAGGTTAAAAAGTTCACAGGAAATCGTTTTAAAATCCATAGAGTTAATTCAGTTCCTGAGACAAAAGCATCTATCTGCTGAGCTTTAAACCACCCCTGAAGCTTCTCTGGATTCTGAGGACAGGTGTAAAGCGTCTGAAGTAGGCAGCAGCTCCCGCTGAAGACACCCAATCCCTAGCCTCCTGATTTTGCCTCGGTTGCAGTCAGTCACAAAAGATCTCCTTATCCAGGAATGTCACACTGTCACCAAACACAAATTGTTTTGTTTATCATGTCCTGCGTTCCTTCCCCACTTTTCCGTGCATGGCTGCTGACATTGGTGGACGTGCATCATGTGACCTAAGTGAAGAAATCCATGTCACACAAAATAGCCCCTCAGGTGACATTCTGCATCACTAAAATCTGGGGATGCCAACATTGCAACAGAGGACAGCCCTCTGATCCCTAGTGTAGCTTGCAGAAACCCGATCCGGTCCCTGTCTTAGTCCAAACTTAGGGGAGTTAAGGGGATCACAGCACCAAAGCGCTGTTGCACCAGGGTGTTCGCTCTGTTCAACTCGCCATGCTTTCGTGGTTAATTGACCTTGAACGCAGAAGACTTGTGAACCTTTGTGAACCGTCATCAGCGGTCCATGGAGGGACAGGAGGAATGTTCACGCAGAACTTAGGTAAGTAGTATGGAAAATCTGATACCGGTCACAGGCTTTACCACACAGCATCAGAAGCATAGATTTTACCCTAATTTTAAGATTTTGCAGGATGAATTCTGGTTTATAAATGACTAAAAGAAGCTTTTCATGTTATTCTTCATGGCCAGATATTTCCAAAGAAGCGATTTGTGTTAAATGTTAAGCAGCCAGGGGACTCACAAGTGAATAACAAGTTTCAGTCGTCATTGTCCATTTTGTACCTTCCAAACAAGGCTGTCTGCCAGTCAGCCTGCGCTTTGTGTTCAGCGCTAGTAAGCCCGTCACGGCTGATAGTCATTCTCAGCCAAACACATTGCATCAGAAACCGCAGCTGGTCTTGGGTCAGTTTTTAAGCTGTGAATTCCAGCAGCAGATAATAACTCTGCCTTCATTTTAAGTTGGATGAACTGGTCTTCACAACTGAGTTACAGGAGGCAAAGACCCAGGCAGGGGTTAGAGAGAGAAAAGCAACAGTAAATAAAGCTGTCATTTCTCTGGCCAGCAGAGTTGTGATGGTTCACAGCAGCTGGGGGCAGCTCTATTCTGCTGGACCCATGCTTACTCAGATCTGCATTTTCTTCAGAGGTGGAAAGTTCAGGTCCAGAAAGTACAAATCCAGACCAAGATTTTGTTTCAACCAACCAACTGAGGACTCTGTGACTGTTTATATTCAACTGGTTGGTTGAAACAAAATCTTGGTTTGGACTTTCTGGACCTGAACTTTCCACCTCTGGTTTTTTTTGTGGTTTCTTGTGATTCTTTTGGCATTGGCCGGTGTTTAAAGCCCCTTTGGCTTCCAGCAGTAATGAGTGAGATACCGCTGGACCTGGGGAGTCCTGACCAGGAAGGAAAGCTCTACTCAGCCGAGTCGCTGAACAACCTGCACAAGATGACTGTCTGCACAGACCGAAGGGATTTGTTATCGGGTGAGGCCTCCCGATCAGGCCGCAACACGTTAAGGTCACTTCAAAGGACCCTACAGCTGGGACTGTCTGATCTACCTTCTGGACAGATTTAAAAAAATTAACAGCACAGAAAAACGAGAAAAAAAATACACCTACTCCCAGATGTTCTCATCTCCCTGCCCAAGCTGTTTCCAGAAAATCCAGGCAAACAGATTGGTTGGTCAAAGTCATGTGACCTAACATACTGTATATGAATACCAAAAAGAAATGGGCCTCCTAAAAGTGGCTTGAATCCCCTGGGCATCAACGAGCGAGCACACGCCCGACGACCTGCCTGGCACATGCCCCAACTCGCTCCTCCCACACATTTCTCGCGCCGCTCTCACGACAGGGACGTGAGACGGGATAAATGTGCGAGCCAGCAGGCATGGACGGGTAAACGCAGCAGTTTTCACGGGAACCTGCTGGCTTCGGTGGAATAACACATCTCGCGTAGGTTACGACGGTCCGAAACGTGTGCGTCGAATCCAGCAAAGCCACGTAATGATGGACGACGTTAACGAAGCTTTTGCTGGTTTACGTTTTCACTAGGCAACAATTTTACGTATGCAAGAGATACAACAGCAAATATACAAATCTGATGATTCAAGAGACGAAAGCTCTCCCTGTATTTTGTATTTATTACGGAAGACTTGGGAATATTTATGCAAATAGCAGTAGCATAAGTAGCAGCATGTCTAGTTTAATTAAAATTCTTCCATGGAAATGTCTTAAGTACTCAGGAGCTTAATCAAACACTTACTGCTCTTCAGAATGTTACCTTCACAAGTTTTAATGAGCCCTCCTAAGCCCTCCCGCTAATATTTGGAGCGCTTTGCTATGACTGTATGCACAGCACGCGACTGTGGTATTTGAGAGTTGACACACTTTGCGTGTTTTTTTATGCAGGTTGGTTAAGGGCTACAGCTCACGTCGACGTACGGGAGGTGACGATAATAGGCCCATGGACAATGACCCCCTGAGCAGATTGTCACAGGTCTGCAGAAGCTGTCAGAGGCTATAAAAATGCCAGATGCTTTGATCTGCTCTACAATATATGTGACATAGATGTGACAGGGACTATGTTTAAACTGATCACATGATGACTTTGCTGAGCATCAGGGTGTACAGAAGTAGCATTTGCTTATTAACTGAAAAATCACCTTGAAATAAGACACATCACGCCCTATTTCTGTGATGACCCTCCCTGACCCATCGCATGTCCCGGCATGATTAAAAATAGGAATATCACTTTGATGGGGGCTGGATTCCGGAGAGTTACAGCCCATTGTAACAGCCTCACAGCCCTGAACGACCACTGACAGCACCGACGTAAATAAACACCGACAGGGATTTTAATCTCCACGACTCAATGGCTCAGTCATTACCATAGCAACCAAGTGGTGTCTTTAAGGACCTGAAACGTAGTCGTCTACGTGTGTGCCCGTCGCACCCAGGGTGGGGTCGCCAAGGGAATTTTCGCCCACACATGGCTCATGTGTGGCAGCCGGTCTATGTGTGACACCCGGAGGAGGTGTGACAGTCAGGTCACGCTTGGCGGCCACCCCGTGTGTGACAGCCATTAACACGCGTGACAGTTGGCTTACGTGACAGTTGGCTCACGTGACAGCCAGCGACTATGGCAGGGGGCCGTTAGTGTTTATCTGACCCATTTGCAATCTGGACGGCACGAAAGTGTGACACTCTGACACCTTCCAACCCCCCTTTCTTGACCCCCTCATGGCTGCCAGGTTTATTTGGGCATCTTGATTAAACAAAGGAGCACTTTCAGCTACACACACTTCATAAGGTCATTCCTACTTTCCACCATTAGACTCTACAATGACTCCCCATATGGTGAGGGGGGGGAGGGGGTGACCAAATATCTGAATGGACCTGGCACACTGGCACATTCACAGAACACTCATTCATTTACTGTACAACCCACTATGCAATACTGTTTATTTCAGAGGTATAATATATCCATCCATCTATCAATCCACCCATCCATCCATCTATCCACCCATCCATCCATCCATCCATCCAATGATTAGATGACATCAGCGTCGACTCCTGCTGCCCATATAAACAGCTCTCAGATGACACGTGGTTCTGATGAGCACCAGGTTGACATCGTTCTCCTCTTTTGTCTCAGTTCCACCCCCGACTTGCCCGAAAGGGCCCCCCCAAAGGCTAGAGGAAGCAGTGAGTGATGGCCTGGGGCCCCCCACTCCAGGTGAGTGTGCAGGGCCCCACCCCCTCCCCCGTCCTCCGAAATCCAACTGACGGCTACTGCAGACTCAGCTCGTCAGCGCAGTGAAGGGATCCCCTGCAGGACCTCAACTCAGGCCCTCAGTGCAACCTTCAGCCTTTTGACATGAATGTTTAAAGAATAGAATCCAGCTCCCAACTTCCACATGCAGCGTTATATAAATAACGTGTTCAGAAGCAGGTCATCTATATGCTTCTTTAAAGATTAAAAAGCAAACTGTGGATTCAGGTCATAGCACCAGAGCCATTGACCTAGTTTGACTGTAACATCAAAGCCCCGCCCTCACGGAGACCACACCCCCCGATTGATGGAGTGACCACCCCCAGCACCAGGATGCCTGGGGCCAGATGCCCGTGTAAATTGTGTTTCAGTACCACGCTGGGTTACAGTAACACAGATATTATAAGTGTAAACTAGGAGAAGCTAAATTAATGTTGAACTGCATGTTTGCAGGAAGACAAACATAAATATAATGTAAGAAACTACAAAAAATAAACTGTCCATCCATCCATACACCTATTTTACATGACGGCTTTTCCAGCACAGGGCTGTGGTGAGCTTGTAATTTATCCCTCTAAATAAGATCAGAAATCCTGGATAGGAAGTTGGAAAATGTAAAAAAAAAAAAAAAAAAAGTAAATTAACTTCAGAAAACAAAAACCCAGAGAATTTTTCACAGAATGGAGCTGAGCCCCATGACAGAACTGACCCATGATCTGCAGGGATCCTGGCCTCTCTCCTGCATCTCCTGAGACCAGACGCCCTGGTGGGAGGTGAGGATGAGGAGCGCACGTCTTCGCGGCCTATCCACCAGGCACCGGTCCACGGAGCCTGGCTCTTACTCGCCGCCATGTTGCTGATTGGTCTTCTCTTGTCTTTCTGTGCGATTTACTTAATAGGTAACTGCGCCACCTTCCCTCCTGCCTTCTGCTCAGTAATTAACTGACCTGCTTTCAGTTCATGAAATCCAAAGTTTTCCAGACTATTCCAGGAGACCCTAACTACACCTCCATTGTCACGTGATTGACAGCGCGAAACTCGGCGGTGCTGGGGGAGCTCAGGGGAAGCGGCGTGGAGGAGAGGCATCTGCTGGAGCTCAGGCGCTGGAAGGCCCTGCTGGAGAAGAACCTGGATATCTCCATCTCTGAGGGTACCGCCAAGTGAAAGAAAAGGTGGGGCGCCCCCCCGGTGGAGAAGGTGGTGCCCTGTGGCCATTTCACAGAGCGGATGCTCATCCAGATGAGCGTGATTTCAGCACAGGATAGCGATTGGAGTTCTGCTTATTCAGCACAGTAAATGGCCCTGCATATGGAGGGTAGTCAGGTTGTTGAGGATACACCATATTTTAAGTAGAGACTTACAGGAAATGTGATTTTTTTTTTAACAAAAAAAGGAATGAAATAGATGTATTGAAAAATAAATTTCAGGTGGCAGGACTTACACTCAGTAGAGCTATGTACACTGCTTATTACACACTGCGGGAAAGGAGTGTGCAGTGCGACCATCCCAGTCTCACACACACCTCCCAGTCTCACAACATCTCCCAATCTTACACACACCTCCCAGTCTCACAACATCTCCCAATCTTACACACACCTCCCAGTCTCACAACATCTCCCAGTCTTACACACACCTCCCAGTCTCACACACATCTCCCAGTCTCACACACACCTCCCAGTCTCACAACATCTCCCAATCTTACACACACCTCCCAGTCTCACACACACCTCCCAGTCTCACAACATCTCCCAATCTTACACACACCTCCCAGTCTCACAACATCTCCCAGTCTCATTCTCGTACCTATAAGCCAGTGTGGTTTATCCCATTCTGACAGTCGTCCATTTTGACAAAGGACCTGACTGCCGCGGAATGTCTGCAGTATATTTCTAGAAAACAAGATACGTAAATGAAAAAAAACATTATTTTGTTGAACAGTAACTGTATATTTTGTGTGTTTCATTAAATGTGTGGGGTCTACTTACAGAGTGAGTCAGCAGCGTTGTGTTAACCTGCCATTGTTTCTCTGTGGTGACTAGAGCAACCCACTGCCAGCCCATGGATATAAACAGCCAGTGATATGAACAGGTGAAGCTTGTCTTAATTAAAACTGTAAATCGTATTTAAAAAATTTAAGAAATCTGTAAAATCAGACCTCTGATGTCTAGATCTAGTTGTACCCAAAGCAAAAATATATATTATATATATTTAATATATATTTCTAACTGAAGAGATCACTGTCATAGCGGAGTTTATGCCAGGATATTCAAGACCCAGAATAACACCAACACACCTGAGGTCTAGATCAGGACTGCAAGGCAGAAAAAATACTAGTCTGATGTTTGTCTTAAGATAAGACCCTTGACCAAGCCCAAGAAAACTGTTAATAATACATTGGTCCGCCCTCTAATTGGGGCTGAGTGTTTCACAGATTACAGACTGCCGAAGACTAGTTCCAATACTATGAAAAGAAGTATAGAGGATAGTAAACATCCCTGGATGTTGTTCTTGCCTCGCCCCAAATATCAAATATACATCAGTTGCATCCTTGCCAAACGAGACCAGTCCCATGATTCACTGCACCCCAAGTTTGTTCTTGGAAGGTAAGTTAGCAAGACTGCTTTTGCTAGGATGGCAAGTACGATCTTTGCGTTCTTGGTATTGAGGAACACGCTGGCTGTGTCTGAAATCGGGGGCCGCTTCCTTTGAAGGACGCGCTCTATGCAGCCTTCGCAGGCTGCGTCCTTCGAAGGTACGTGCAATGAATCTTGGGATCTCGGCAGAAGAATAATACGTTTTTAGGCTGCAATTGAAGGAGCCTTCGAAACGGGATGACCTTATCACAAGACAGCCGTCTTCCAATGCAGCCTTAGAAGGATACAGCTCCTGAATTTGGACACAGCCCCCGAGTCTTAGAGCAGAGGGGACATAATGTGCAGGCTGAATGAATGATCGCTGGACTAAGCAATTCTCGTGGTCATATGGTCAGCGATATAGTCGGTACATTGACCTTACAGTATATTACACGATTTGCTGCACTAGAGTTTTAGAATGTAGTACCCGGCCTGCTATGAGTAGTGTGCATTGTCTTTGCAATAACGTTAGCTTACAACAGGAATGTACAAAACAACGCAAGAGCAATACGCCTTGTCTAAGACACGTTTCTTAAATTTAGTGCCTGTATTTTTACACATGGCCAGCAGATGGCAGAATGTTATCACTGAAATTTGGATTTTGGGACAAGCTGATTCGTTCATCACCTCTGTCATTATCGGTTGCCTCAGATTATGCCCCACTTATGAACTGAATCGAGGTGCCATATTTTATTATTGTCTGGAAATACATTCACATCTTTGCAGTACTGACCATCTTTAGGCTATAATAGTATCCTGCAAAAAGATAACAGATCGGTGCATTTAATTTCAATTTAAATAAAACTGATCAAATTATTGGTGCATAGACTGTTATATTGCATTTCTTAAAAAAAAAATCATATTACTGCAATAAATTATTTTAAAAGTCTATTACAACAGTAGTTTAATTTGATCTTTTCCATGAAAGTTTTTTCTAACCTTATTTTGACTTCTAAGCAAAAGTCTATGTTTGCATTACATATAAGTGTACAGTAACCAACAAGCACTGGGTATTTACCAATTATATTATTTTTATTATTAATAATGTTCAGTGGTGAAAGTTGAATGGAAATGGCATGATGCAAATGAAGGACCAAACATTATTATCATGTAGACTATCTCCAGAAACCTGCCTTTATCATACGACAAAAGGGGGTGGTGAAGGATGGAGAGTGTAGTCTACGTGTGCAAGGCTGTATGTGGTTGTTTAAAAGGGAAAAAACCCGCCTGTTTTAGCCAGTTTGTGAATTAAGGTGTAGCTACGTACAGTGACTGGAGGCAGCCTGTTAGCCGCAAGGCATGATGGGAGATTATTTTAGAGAACATCTTCATTCCAGTGACAATGCTAATAAAAATTTTATCAAAGCTTCTGCCTTGTACATTTAAAGGAAATAAGATTATCGATCTCTGATATTCATAACATTTTCCTCTTTATTATTAATATTGTTGTTGTTGTTATTTTGATTGATCATTTATGAATACTTGTTCCTACCAGATGCACATGACATCACAGAGGACACGATGAAAAGCACAAGCGGTATATTATCCTCATTGCCGGCCTCACGGAAGGTTGCGCACCTGATTCTTGCTTTCCTCACAGGGCCTCACGAAGCAGCGCACAGATCTGGTGGAGAGCACATGCTATTTATACAGGAACACCTGAGGCTGGGATAGGAAAGGTGTGTGGGGGGGGGGGGTAATCCGGCACAAAGGCTCTGACTGCATCTATCCATCCATCTCCCAGCCACTTATCTAGTACAGGGCCAAGCGGGGGCCTGGAACACGGGCCATGAGACGGAGGTGAACCCTGGACAGGACACCAACCATCCAAGGCTGCACACAACGGACGATTCTGAGCCAGCGCTCCGCCTGAAGGCCTGCCGTCGGACTGTGGGAGGAAAGCAGGCCAACTAGACCAATGGTCGCTAACGCGTCGCCCACTAGCAGCTAGCAGCTACTAGTAGCTCGCAGGGAGCCAATGAGTAACTTGCAGAAGACTTTTTAGACATAAAATAAATTATACAAATTCAGTATTTTTTTATTTTGCTTATACTCATGCACACAAGGACCCTAACCCCCAGCTGACAGCTTTTACCGTCGCCGCCCCCCCACCTCCCCAGCTGATCTTGCATCAGTCTTGTATCAAACACGTAGCTCCCCCACATCACTTCGTTTGTAGAAGCAGATGAGAGCGTGTATAACGTCGGAGACCCCTGACCATGAGGAAACTCACATACGCTCACGCGGCGGCCGGCCCTGAAGGTGTCAGGTGACAATGACGCCCATTTCCAAAGTCATCTTAAACATGTGCTCAGATTTAGTGAATGTTCCTGTCAGAAGAATCCGATACCGTATG